GGGGGGGGGGCAAATTCTCATGCTCATTTTGAATTTCAGCAAGTCATCTTGACCATGTCTACATGTCTAACATTGACTTGCTGCCATATAAATGATTAGACTTTTGCATTTTTGAATGTGCTGTAGAGTCAGTAAACCTAATGAAGTCTGTAGTGAGTATATATGCCTGCTGCTGTCTGAGTCTGAGGTAAACAATGGTCCTGATCCCCTAGTGAGAACATACAGGATTTTTTTGTTTGGTTTTTGGTTTGCATTCTGTTTTTTTTCCTACATTTTACACAGCATCTCAACTTTTTTTTTTTTAATTTTAAAAACAAGGTTGCACAAATTGTCAAATACATTGAGTGTCTCTTACCAGAGTCTGAAATATCATCCCAGTATGGGGAATCAAATTCATAATCCCCTGACAAAATCTTTAGGAAAAGATTCTTATCACGATTATCAGAGTCATCTTCTTCAGCATCATCATAAAAAGGAGGGTTCCCAGACAAACTAATGATGTGGAAAAAATGAGGATAAAAGAATAAGACTTTCTTCCACAAAACTCTAACTTAAGAAAACAAAACAAAACTTGTAATACAAGATACTCTAAGCACATTATGAGTCACTTACAGTATATACATGATCACACCTATGGCCCAGCAGTCCACGGGTCTTCCATATCTCTGTCTCGCCACCACTTCAGGGGCTAGCAGCAAAAACAGGTTTTAAGTATTTTGGCAGGTTTGCACTTTATAGTTAAAAACTAAAGCAGTACAAGATGAATTTTATTGATCTGAACTGATTTTACTCACCAAGATATTCAGGAGTCCCACATGGATCTTTAATGAGTCCATTTTCCAGTTTTGCCAACTGGAAGTCGCTGATAACAATTTTGGAGTGCTTCAAGCGATTAAAGTAGACCAAGTTCTCCAGCTGGTTAAGAAAATGAAAGTTTGTTTGTTTCATAGAAAGCATATGAATGCAACATTATTACAAGGTGGTCCCTGCATACAGTAATTTATTTGGCCAGTGATGACATGCTGTTGTTTTTCACTAGGTGTCAGCAGTGCAGTACCTTAAGGTTTCTGTGGACGATTTTCAGAGAGTGCAGGTAAGCTACAGCTTCCAACACCTGCCTCATAACATTGCTGGTGTCCCTCTCTGAGTAGTAGCCTTGATCTAAGATCCAGTCAAAGACCTCTCTGCCTGTAGCGCTGGCAAAACAGGACACCTAGATTTAGTACGTCACTTTTTGATAATACTCCAAAACATTTCACAGATTCAATAAATCGTTTCTTTTGTGAGAGAGGTACAGTGAGCAACAAATGCCCCAAAACTACTCACAGCTCCAGGAAAATAAAGTACTCTTTCTTTGTTTCGAAGGCGTCAACCAGCTGAAGGATGTTATGATGTTTTACCCTTTGAAGGGAACAGGAGAAAGATGCAGTGACGTAGGTGAGGTTACATGGGAAATAACTGAGTCAGAAAGGATAACAAAATCTCAGTGGTACTCTGTAAAACAAGAGCATAAAACAAGGTAAAGCTGTGTAACTGCAACAGGCAGTTTTTTCCATTACGTCAAAAACTGCCAGCATGGCATCACCACGGTCTAGCTCATCAGAGGGTGAATTTTTAGAACACCAACTAAAACAGTGCAGGCCTTAGTCAAGCGATGACAAATCACCACAATAATATGTCAGTTCCAGATTCATAAATAATCAACATCTAATGAATTCCTTATTAAACTGATTTGGGACCAAGTATGCTGATTGTTATTATAATTTCTTGTCAGTTGCTGGTGGTGTTGACCTTTATTATGTATTATTTTTCATGCAAATGTGACAATTGAGTCCTTCGACATCACAATAGGCCCACCGAATGTTACGTGTCATAGAATCTCAGGCTTTTAAAAATAACGTTTTACAGGATAAGAATGGTGGGAGACCCAATGGAAAAATCCTAACCAAAAATGTTTTTAGTTCTAATTTTGTCAGGTCCGATACCCATTTGTCACTAATGAAGACCTCATCTTAAAGCACAGCTAACACACTACTTTTATTTTATTTTTTTAAAGTGATGAGCAGTAGTTTTGTTTTTTTTACTCATCAGTAAACACTAGATTTAAGCTGCACATCGTGTGCTCTAATAAACATTTACAAAAGCAGTCCATGTGGGATAAACCCATGTTTATGGTAATGCCATGCCATCTACTGCAATAGTTATGCTCACTGATCTCTCTTTTTCTTCTTCTTCTTCTTCTTTTTTTTTTTTTTAGCAGATTTTCAATATGTTAAAAAGGCATAAGTCATAATTTGGCTGCAAAATAAATATATATTAAAAGGATAAATTAAGGAGTTTACTTCTCAGCTTGGTAGATGGTAAGTAAATTTTGAACATCACCGGACTTATCCTTTAAGCAAAAACAAATATGTATGAAACTTGCAATCTGACTTTACTTGACTTTACTCTGTTTGTCACTTTTGCAATATACCAAACTTGAATATTTTGGCTTTTTCACCACAATGCGCCCTTTTTGGTATTTTTGGCTGAACTCAGAGATAAATGGTCATTTCACATCAGCTTTGCTTCACTGCCAGGTGGCTTCCACACCCCTAAAGCTCTGAAATGAGCAGCGCCATACTTTACTTACATCTTCAAGATCTTAATCTCATTCTTGGCAGCTTTCCTGACTTTCCTTCCATCCTTTTTGTGGAACTTTTTGCATGTGTACATCTTTAAGGTGTTCCGGTCCTTCGCCCGGAATATCTCACAAAACTCCTCTCTGTGTCAATATGGAAAAAAAGCAAACATATATCATATTATGAGTCAAAGTCTGTACTAGAGATGGCATGATACCACTTTTTTATGTCCGATACCGATATCATAAATTTGGATATCTGCCGATACCGATATGAATCCGATATAGTGTATTTTTTTAATGAATAAAACTGTTTGCGGGCCAAAAACAAACAAGAGAGACAGAAAAGCCGATCAGCTGATCACTGATTAGTTTCATGATTGAAGTAGCAACAGGAGAGGGAGGGAGAGAGAAGAGGCAGTCGCTCCATATATCAGTTGTTAAGCTTAACGTGGGAATGCTTTACAAACATTCAGAGATGAACTTACACACTTGCTTTACTTCTCTCTGGGATAACTTTCTTGGAGATGAAATGCCGGTTTGGCAGCACGTAGCGAGGCTCCAAATGCTCAATCAGACCACTGACAGGTCTCGCACGCCACAGCCGCTCTATCACGTGAGGCATACTGCTCCGACATGCTAAGGTTATGAGCTGAGTTATGCCATGTCGCAAGTTTTGTGAGGTGCTTTTGTGATATTTAATGGATCAGATTACATTTTTATTTCTCTCCGATATCCGATCCAGTAATTTACGTCAGTATCGGAGCGATACCGATACGTGATATCGGATCGGTCCATCCCTACTCTGTACACACTTGTCAGCATTCAGATAGGGAAAAATTTACTCACGATTTAACAATTTGTCCGAGGTCATACTTGTCGGTCACCTCTGAGGGACTGTTGTAATCCTTCTTCTCCCCGAGTGTCAAACAGCCAAATGGCATGGCAGCTCGTGCCCTAGCCGGGGAATATCTTGCCAACACAACCTGCCAACGATGGGTAATAAGTGAAGAGATAACATATGAGTATAGCTTTGTTTTGAAAGATATCAGCATAGTACATAGTATTTGCTAAATACTGTAAACAACATTATTGCACACGAGTTTTAAAAGCTGTGCTAAAAATTACTTGAGAAAAAAATAAACTGTTTCATTAATGACACTAAAAGAAATGGGGGGAATGGTTTCTCAGTGATGCGTTTAGCATTAAATGAGTAAATGCAGTAAATCAGTGCACACATTTGCAGGAAGCAAAACTCTCTTTCTCTGGAATCTTTTTGGTTGTACATCTGAGACTAGGCAGGCATAATTGAGCTTGTGGGAGCAAATTATTTCAAATTACCACAAGAGCAACACAACATAAAAATTAAAAATTTCAGTAATCTTCTTCGGGGAACTCAGTGAGACCGGCAAGCGTGCTTCTTTCCATCCTGCAGTGAGTCAGCCCTGTACTGCAGGAGCAGCGGCTTTCATTTGTTTGTTTTCTGCAGTAAAGAATATTCAGGTGGATCTGACCTTGTGCAACAGCTGACATTTTTTCTGCTTTTGTATATGCTAAAATGCTTAAAATTTGGAAAAGCTGTTGCCCTGTTGGCTTTGAAATAACAAGAGAAAACACCACAATATTAACATATAAACCCGTACATGTTCACTGTCAACCAGTAGGAAGAATTCAATTATAAGAATTAAGAAAATATATGAGAAAATCTATTAGAGAATAATATTATTGTCCAAGTACTGTACTACAACAAAGTAAGTGGTAGTTTATGATCACAAAACTAATGAATAACATGCAGTGTAAGCCACATGGTTTCCCAAAAAGAAGTTTAGTGCCTTCGTTCGAATACGTAACTGTGTGTCAGACAAATATTATAATGCTGGAAAATGTGAAATCACATAGGATAATTTATTAAATGCTTATCTGTTTTTGGTCAATCTTCCCAAGGACACCAACAGAGTAATGTAAAGCAATTTAGACTCTAATAATATAGTCTGTGATTTATACAGTAATTTTATGGTATGAGTCAAAACACTGACAGGTTCCAACAATGTGTATTAGTTCTCCATGTTCCGTGAACAACAGCTTCCACACACATCATGTATGTGATCCATCCATCCATGCATTGGTGGCGATTGACTGGCTGGAGCCCATCAGAGATGTTACAGGACAAAAGAGTGAAAAGCTGAAATCCTGGGTACAGCCTGGACAGGTTACCAGTGTATTTTCATGCAGGTTTTATTTAACTCAGTTCTGCAGAAATCCCAGGTTCTGAACCACCAATTAATTTTCTATAACACAAATCTTGATATGTTGTAAGATAAACAACATAAATGTGAGAATTTTTATTATATGGGAAAAAAACTTTTACTAAATATGTCAATCATACATCATAAATAACCTACAGCTTTCATAAATACAAAACACTTTGAGTGCACTGGTCTCTCTGATGACCAAAATAACAGAGCTTACAAATACATAACAACATAAATCCTTAACATGTCTGTGAAGGTTCTCAGTCACTTTTACTAAATATGTCATATTCCTTTGACTATAAATCCTTAACTGTAGGATAAATGACTGCATGCAGGATGACATTTCCAACTGTATGCCACAAAAAGCCCAATAAATTAAATTCACCCACATGAATTCCTCTAACAGGTTTCTATGCCAATTTCACAGCCTGGCTACATAACCCCGCTGCTTTTTTTTCATCATGAAAATTGGAGCACTTTTATGGACACAGAGTGATCTAACACTGGATCATTTGCTATAACGTGTTCTCAGAGCAATGGCATTTTGTGTTTCGCCTTTGCTTTGAATTAGTTATCTACTTTGCTTAGAGACTTTCTGTCTTGTGAGATCAGTGCAAGCAGCTGGTGGTCAAAGTGTTTACCAGCTGGGCTTCTGGTGTCAATTCTAGGTTAGAACTCAAACTTTGCTTTGAAATTACACATAACTTTAAATTCTGATAACGTGATCTGATGCAGCTGAACAAGTCCACAACTCCCAGCTAAAATTACTGATGACATAGGATCTGTGTGTGGATAACAGACTATTTTTTTTGGCAGGCCTTACAATGGAAGTAGCAGCCAGTGCAGAAGAGTGGGAGTACAAAAATTCTGACTGAGGTGTTGAGTGATAGCCTCAGTCAAGACCAGAGATAACGATTTCTCCCAGCTGCTGCATCCAGTAATATCTGTAGTACAGCAAGGTGTAACATATTTTAAGAAGATGTTCTTTCAGTTCACTTTTTAACAATGTATTGCTTAAGAGTAATTGTGAATCAAGATAGCACCCTCGAGTCAAAGACACTGGGATGGTATAGATGACCAAATGTTCTCAAGGTGACTCTCCAAAGACATCTACTGTATGTGAGATAGTGATGCTGCAGTATCTGAACTCCTTATCTTTCCTAGCGATATTCCAAATTTTAGCTTCTTTTTAAGCAATCTAAGAAATGACATAAGTCAGGTTAATATGTCACCATAAGGCTATTTAGTGGTTTAGTGGAAAGACACATTTTCCAACTTCTTTATCGCTTGGATTTTGTGTTTGCAAAGTGCTCTTTCAGTAAACAAATTGATAACAATTCTAAAATGCAGCATCCTTTATTAGACTTCAGCAGATGACCTTTATTGCATTTTTTACACATCTTCTATCTCTACCTGTATGTACTGTAAAATTTTTGACGCATGAGGTTCATATCATTAGTACATTAGTAAGCAATGCAGTAGGTAGTTACAGTACAACTATTATTAGTTTAAGAACTATGTAATTGTGTGTAAATAGGAATGCGGACACATTATGCAAGTTACCAGCATTTCTAAGTCACTGTTACTTATGTGGTAAAAAGTAATCCACCCACTCTTTGACTACAAACAGGCCACTTTTATTTTGAGCACGCTAAAGTGAAGGTGGGGGTCAACTTGGAGTAGCCAAAGGGATCAAGTCTCTTCTTTTCAGCCATTACTTTTTTGTTATTTAAGTCCATCCCAGACTTTACTCAAGGTTGTGTTTTTTCTTCAGTGTGCACAAGCAGGAGATGTTTCCTGGGGGGTGAGTGAAAGACCGAGAGTGCTGCAAACTAAAAGCACACGATCCATCTCCTCCTGCAGAGCTCTAGCCTAAACAATTCCATACTTCAGTTTACCATTTGCCTGGTGAAAATGCAGAACACAACAGCGTGGCTCTCCTCTGTCCTAAAGGGGCGAGCTTTCACTTCTAGAGTATGGGAAGCGTTTGAAAGATATGCCCAAGCTAAATCACATCCTCTGCATGAATCTGACAAGAATAATACCCAGACTCACCATTAGCATTTTCTCTCACTCAGATTGATACAACTCTGTTGTCTCGGTATCAGAATAATTTCTTTTCATTATACATACAGCAGTCCTGTAAGGCTCATTTAGACCAATGGAAGAACACATACTACATACATGAGGACACAAACACACACATTTTGCTTTTATTGTTTGTGTTTATTCAACCAGAATTCATGATCCTATTTACCCTCACTTATAAAAGGGCTTGAACAAAAACTAGGCCACAAGCATATTTAGTAAGGTCTGACCAGAGTTTTAAGAAACAAGCATTTCATCTCATGGCCTCTGTTTCTCACCACGCAGCCAATAGCTACCGCAGAAAGACAGACGATATCATGAATGCCAAGCAGAATTAGAAGGTAAGGCGGATGTCAGACCAGTTAATACAATTATCAGACCTCACAATGAATCACAGATCCCTACACCTGTTCTCATAAGCTTGAGTCACAGGACGGCTCAGCAAACAATAAACAGAAATATGGCAAGTTGGGCAGAATTTTGTGTGCACATGTTTTTCCCCTTTCGAAGCAATCTTTGAGATAAGAAGCAGTTCTTCAGCAGAAGACAGGAAAAAAAAAGACAGAAGACACTTGACTATTGCTGAGTCAGGGGTCTTTTATCTATGCTTTTTGAAAGAGCTGAATGAAGTGCTCTTCAGTAATGGGGATGTAAATTATGTCTCAAATTAAGTCGCTGAGCTCAACTTAAAAAAAGAAAAATGTAACTAGCGACACCCTTGGTGAATAATGACAAAGGCAGAGCGGTGTGATTAGAAAACAAATTAATTTAAAAAAATGATGTCACTGTCCAGCTGCTGATTGGTAGCATAAAGTGGTAGTTCAGGTTATTTTGTTTTCAGTAATAACAACTTTAATATACAGCCTACAAAGCTGACAGTCGTGATGCGTGGGTTTTGAATAGACACCTTTTTTTTACAGAGGTTTTGCAACATTAAAAACCAAACACAAAAAACCGCCCATTTCTATGCTGAAATGGGATTTAAACAAAAGTGAACAAAAAGGTCAAAAATGTATAAAGAAAAAGAAAAAATGATCCCCCTGAACTTGAATGTGATGTATAATATCTGACAAGAAACCAAGAAGCAATTTGTGTTTAGGTCTCTGTCCTTTTCATTGACTTTGTTGTTGTTATTCACTAGCTGGAGTTGCAGTTGTTTTATTGATAGTGACAGTGGGATGAAATGTATGTATGTTACAAAAATGAAACTGTGAGTACACTGAGTCATAGAGCTGCAGTCGCATAATGCTCCCACTGACCCTTTATTAAGGAAAATAAATTACATACATCTGGAACACATTACCAACTGGACATGGCCCTGCCACAAAGGGTCCTAAAATATAAGCCTTTGTCTGTAAATATCATCCTAGGGCACATCTCAGCTGCCTACCACTGGTCTAATTTTTGAAGAATAAGATTAATGAGGATGGATGGCACTTTTTCACACTGCGTTCCAGCAGTTGCACAACACTGCCTAACCTTAGGGGACTATTATAATTCAAAATAAAATCTTTGAGGGATGAGGCATTTCTGCGTTTTGTTCTGTTCATGCTGATGTGAGTTTGAGAAAAAAAAAAAAGCCTGGAAATTTGCATTATGCATTATATTCTAGCAGTTAAAAATGACAGCAATGTATCAGAATTTTAAAATAATCAGTGTTTTTAAGCAGTCTCACCTAGGCTGCAGTGCCTGAATTGCATGAACGTGTTAAGTTTAAATATGGCTAAAAATAATAACCATCATCTGCATTCAGTAAAAAAAAAAGTATGACTGTGGAGCTGGGTGGAAAAGATTTGTATATTTTATTTTATGTGTTAAAATGCCGAGTTCAACACAGTGCCAGAAGTTTATAATTTTAATTTTAAAAACATCTGAAATGAAAATTAGATTTCATGAATTTACTGATTTCAGTTTGCAATAGTCTTTTTTTTGTAATTTAATGAATTGGCATCATGAATATGTACATGAAGTAATTTCATGTGTTTTTATGTGTTATGCTTCACTCATTTTGCTTTATTAAATAAACTATTATCTAATAAACCCTAAAATACTAAGACATTACATGTTCAATGTTCCTGCAGTGACATTGTATTTATAATCCATCTTATAACTGTATGTTGTTTCACTGTAATAAAGCTTTGTCTCTTTTGGTCTTCTAAGGAGCATAATTGATATGCTGAGTCATGTTGAACAACTGTGATGGAAATTGGATGATGTGTACCGATTTTCCCCAAAGCAGACGCTCATTTTACGGATACTATTTACTGTTGTTGCCTTGTTTACTTGTTTTATGTTCTAGTAGACCACTAGTACGCATACTTCACAATGTAATGGGTGTGTTTGTGTAGGAGGTAACAACTGACAACCTCTGAAGGCAGTTTGGAAGAACATAAACCTTTTTTTTTTTGGGTGGGGGGGGGGGGGTCTGGAGAACATTTTTTTTTCTTTTACTGTGCTTTTGTTGTTAGGTTTGCCCGTGACATTTTACAGACATGACTATAAGCGTCCTTATTTATTCCTTATTTATTTATATATTTCTTTTTAAATGTTTCTTGCTGCTATTTTGGAATTGGATTGTTTGTCAAAGCCATGTGAGACAGTGGCAGCAGGCCAGAGCTGTGGATTTGGCCACAGCTGAGGCTCTTCAAAGGAAACTGCTTGGTGACAGGGGGCAGATGGCAGTGATAGTATCTGAGCCAAATATTTTAGCTTGTAATGCTTCATTTATGATTAAAATGTCCCTCTTGCTAGCTGTGAATGCAAAGCACACATTTACATTTTTCATTTTCTGACACATTAAGGCAGAAATGAACACAGGCAAAAGAAAAGTGTTTGTTTTGTCCCAACCCACCCCACCCCACCCCTCCTCGAACGGCAGGTCCAGTGAGGTGGAGAAAATTGTTGAGTGTGAGTCAGTCCTTTTTTTGTGCTTGCTTGTGCAATGCATTGACTCGTACCATTCAACTCTTTTCTGAAGCATCACTGGCTCATCTTACCACTTTCTTCTGATGTTGTTTTGTTGCCATGGTTTCCAAGAGCTACAGTATGCATTGTGGCACTGTCTGTACAGAACAGCTCTCTGTGCTCTCACTGGCATTACTCCCCAAAACCACTGCCACTTCATGTGACCGAAACTCTATTAAAAGAGTTTACAGAACAAAACTTCAAAAATATTAACCGAGGTAATTAATCGAGAAAGATACTGAAGCTTGTTCACCACAATACTCTGACACTATACCAGAGCGGTGTATGACCCAGTTATCAGACAGCTACTTTAACCTACTGGAATGCACCACTGCATAGAAATATTAAATTCAGTGTATAGCTTGCTACATGAACTGAAAACCACAGCTCTCTTCAGGTAAGCCCTTTCCACACTCTTCTCAGTGATGAATCTTTTACTGTTTCTTGGAAAAAAGAACCACCAAAGCAGAGTGTGGTGTGTCTACATCTCTGTTTGTAAATATATGTAAATACCGGATATTCATACATGCACATTCTAATATGCATTTCCAAATTCTGCATTTAAACACAGCATCTCTTATCACTGTATCGTTGTATCAAGTATCTTGTTTTCTGCACCAGGTTTCCCAAACTTCTGTGCGCTAATTACAAATTCCCACTCTTGTAATGCTGTATAATTGATCCAAATCCGTAATGACTAAAATGACACGTCACTGCAATCCTTTCAAGAGCCACTACAGGTATACAAGGGCACCCTTATGGCTTTCTTTTTTTAAAATGGTTTATTCTAGGAGACCGTCACTTGGACTGTTGTGCTTCTTCTGGGAAAGTGTTCAAAACGTCAAAGCACTCTCCCTCCTTCTGGGGTGTAAGAAGTGGTGGCCAAAGTAAGTGGGGATTGTAAGCTCGCTGGCTGTGAAAAGATGACAAATAATGACAAGGAGGCATGGACACCGCGAGACTGTTAAAATGTGAACTGAAGAAGTACTGCAGTCTGAGTGCAGGGAGAAGACGCCTTATGTAAATCTGGAGCGCAGTTTGAGCAAGTCTGTGAACTACCGCTTCAAAAATTTTAGATTTTGAATTAAGTTATGATAATGAGGAGTATAGGCAAACTTGCCATCGGCAGCAAAACCGATTTCACTGTTATTAGTCTTCCTATAGGAATACACTGACAGCCCAATAGCTCATGCAGGTTTAACAGTTTATGCATAGCTCAAAAAATGCGCTTAGCACAGGTTCGTCCGATGTCACCGATCCTGCTGTTTTCTGAAATCACGTGAGAATGTCTGCTATTCCTACCAAAATGTTTAATTCCTCCAAAAGTTTTCAAAACATCTTCGCTGTGTTGTGTTTTGGTATCAAAGACGGTCATTAGCGTTACTGAATAAATAAACCTCGGGGAACATCCCTCAACAATTTCACTTATCGTTTTTTTTTTCAGTGTTTTGCAGTCTTATGACACTAATCCAAATTACGCAAACTGTACTCACTTACCTTCAACGAAGTCAACTGGTACTCGGTAATCCAAGTCTTTGCGTAATATTCGAGTATTTGACTGCGGCTTCACTTTTCTTTGGATGCATCCACTGATGTCCCAGCGTGCTATCACAGAGATATAAGATACTCGAGCGTTTCCAACAAGTCAGCGTATTCACGGGAGTATTACGTGAACGTTTGATGGTAACCGCGGACTATGATGCAGAAAGGAGGGGAAGCGTGTGTGCGCGCGAGTGCGACTCACTGTGTAGCAGTGTTTGGAGCACTATATACGTGCACCACTGCATCAATTATGTTTTGAAAGCAAAATATATTTAGGGAGATGTCTCAAAATGGGGAAGGAGGAACAGGAAAAAAAAGCTTCTTCTTTTTTTATAGAACGAAAATCTCGTTGCTACTTTCACGAGGAAGACTGGAAGTAATTCCATTTTAAATGGCCATTTCCTTTCATTAGATTTCTTTCATCCCTGAAGAAAGGACGGTGCAGCCTACCTTTAGGGTGAACTTTCAGTACACCTTGTGGTTAACCAAATAACAGCATATTTAGTCATGAAATTAGAGTTGCAGGAAGATACATAGATAAAGTACCATCATCAAAGATCAAGTAATCCTGCAAGATGTTTGACTGGAAAACATCTCAAACACAAGCAGCTCTTGCTAGCAAACAGCAATTCCATCATGTATCAATGAGACTAGGGCAGTACCTTCAACTTCATAAAAACTGCAAGCTGTCTATGATATATTTTCCAATATATTTTCCAGAGTATAGCCTATACTCATGTTAAAAACCACCTGCTATGTTATGCAACTGACTAGGAGGCAACATGCTTTCTCCTTTATTTCTCCACAGAGCACATTCATATCCATTTTTACCAACTTATTAAAGAGTATTGATTTCTGATGCCTTTTAATTTGCTGTGATGAACTGGATTGCAGCTTGATTGTCAGATCAAACCGAAAGCCAGGGAGTACAAGAATGCCAGTCCAAAGTATCTTTGGGAAATAACTGGCAGTAAAGTGAGTAACACAAGATTAGTTTAGTACATTAACTGTATCCCTTATCCAGAGCTGCTACACAACATAAAAAATTAACCTGTGCAAGAAAAAAAAAGGATCACCAAGCACAGTTCTGTTTTTCATCTCTTGAGCTGATACTGGTACAGGGCTCACTCAAGCCTCTGAAGAGGTGATTACATGAGGTAGAAATAACATTAACAATACACTTCTGGAGCAGGTGCTATCCTCAACCTCTTCACAGACCGTGTGGGTGCTGTGTGTCATGGTGAAATTGCTGAAAATGCGCAGGTTTGAAAATAAACATCTATTACGTGGTTCTTTCCGCTCATATTTTTAATGCATATAAAGTTTAGTTAGTTTAGACAACAGAAATCTGTCATTTTTAGAGCTCGCTGAGTGCAGTGAAAACAGATATCACCATAAGTAACTTTGCAATTATGTACAGGTATGCAGAGGATCTGCAGGGATTTTAGATTGTAGGCAGACTCTGTAGCACTGCCTTATATAACAGGAGTGTCTCTCCTTTCCGAAAATGAGTAATGCCGCTAAAAGGCCATTGGGATAACTGGAAAGAGTGTGGTGGAGCATCTTTAACCTGCTCCCCACCTACCCACAAAACCACCTACTCTCTCTTTTCTGACTCCCTGTAATATATGGCTCTCCAAAATTCTGGTTGTCTTAGGAGTAGAAGTTGTGCTGTATCACAAATCTGAATCCTGAAATTCTATATACTGTTGTCAACATTTATAAACTGCTATAGGTGTAAAATCCTCTCTCCAGCCATCCATAAATTTTAAAGTGGAAAATCAAACATTTAAAGCTAAAAGAGCTCAGAAATGCAAATCCCACTAAAAGTGCCGCAAAAGAAGCACCTTTTCTAATGAAAATTAACAAGACTGCATGGAGTTTTCATCAAAAGTGGGGCCTCTGTATTTCCTGAAAACCAATATTATTAGATAAAAGATATTTGGAGAGTGTCCAGGGTGCTTGAGACACTGTCTAGAACAGACATAAAGAATCTAGTGTGACAGCCTTGAGACGTGACACTTCCCTGTGCTTTGAGTGGTCAGCAAGTCCAAAAAAGTATTATATAAATCTAGTTCATTGTCAAAGGAGCTGAAGGACAGCAGGTCATTTTAGATATGTATAATGAAGGATTGCAACATGTGTAGAATATGTATTTACTCCACACCCGTGTTTACATTTGAATATTTGTATGTCCACATGCTCGATACAACTGCAAGATTGGCTCTGACATCAATGTTGTCCGTGTGCTGTCACCATAGTAACAGCCTCTTAGGGACAAGGATTTTGCAGTGTGGTGCCATTTGATAGAAGAAACTGTAGTGCAAGTCATTTTGCACTAACAAATCTCACAACAGGTATCTTTAAAACAACCATGAGCATCATTTCCAGATCTAAGAGACTCTGGGGTTGGTTGTAATTTAATTCTTGCTGCTGAATTTAAATTAAAATCCAATGATTTTAGCGCCTCGAAAGTTTAGACAAACATTTTTCACATTTATTGAGTCTCGTCAGCCTGAAGACTCTCGTATCTCTGAGCTTTGGTTCACTGTGCACACTTTACTCTTATTTTTTTGCGCCGTCTAATGTTGGATATTTATTATTACATGTCTAATTCATTGTGTCACGATGAGAAACTTGCACAGACAGCCATTTCAAAGTGAATCACATTAATGTGGATTTCGACCTTCAGCAGTCATTGCAGTCGCATAAACGCAAATTCAGTTAACGGCAACAGGCTGTATCGTTTTTATGAATGCGGAATTCAGAATTAATAACTACCCATTGTTAAAGCTATTTTGCCTTGTGCATTTGAAAGGATGTTAAATATGTTTTATCCAATAAAGAGAAACACTCTCTACTTAGTTCTTTCCTGAACAAAACATGCACTTTATTCCCCTAATTTGTGATTTATATCATTCGTAATTAACCACAGGCTTTTTAGTCGGTCATACAGTAAAAGCATACGCAAAAGTGGAATCTGCGTCATTAAGCTCGCAGGCACTACCTCACTGTGCTTCTCAGAAACTACTCAATGCTCTGCTCATCCTTATGTTACCATGGCTGCATGTAGTTAATCCAGCATTTGTAAGTCTGTGAATGGACTCAAATGGCTCCCTGCTTAACAGGTCCAAGATGTTTGTCTTTTTGTCTGTGTCTGAAATCAGTTCCTTCAGTGAAGGATTTCAAATACAGAGTGGATTTTGTTAATACCACACCAGACATGACAAGAATTTATCCCAGTACATTATGTTACATCTTCTAGATCTTGAGAAAAGACAGAAAAAAGTTATTCCAGCATATCAAACAATGTTGTTAAATCAGCACAATTTCTTCACTGTTTTATTGAAAAGAAAAAAAATGTATTTATTTATTTTTTCACTTCTTTGCTGAAAAGGCTTTGCTCTTAAATCCTTTTCTGACCAAAATATTTTTTTTCTTCACAATGCTGTACTCATGTTTGTAAAAAGATGAGTCAACTTATATTTTAACTTAGTTGCCATAGAAACCAAAACCAATAGTCATGGGGTCTGTGATGAAAACCTTTGAAGGACTGAAGGCATGCTTCTCAAGCATTAGTGGAGACCTTGACAGCTATTACAGCAGTCTCTTAAGACATAAAGAAAGACGTCATGTGAACACATTCCCATTTATTCAATGTAACATATAAACACTGCGGCAAAATGCAAATAGTAGTCCAGCGGGAAGGTTAATGCAGAAGACCAATGTTAAAATTAAAATAATAATGTGGAGTAAGGCAGAAAGGGTTCTAAATGAGAAGGCCTTTAAATATTTTAAAAAGGACATCTTTAACTTGATTACATTACAATAATATGTTTAGTCTTGGTGCATTACACAGAATTACTCTTGTAATGATTAGAGCATACAACATGATAGTGTATGTATTCACTGTCATTTATCCATTCATACAAAATGCAGTGTTTTACATTTAAAAGTAAAACCACAAGTAAATGTTAGTTTTTAATGTTGTTTTAGGTGCTTAACACTGCCACCTCACAGAAAGAAGGTCCTGAGTTCGTATCCAAGTCAGGGTCTTTCTCTGTAAAGTTTGCATGTTCTTCCTGTGCTTGTGTGGGTTTCCTCAGACAGTCCAAAGACATGAATGTTAACCACAGGTGTGAATGGTTATCTACCTCTATGTTGATCCAGGGTGTGCATCGCCTATTGCCCTACAACAGCTGGGGTAGGCTCCAGCCCCAACTATGAATTGTATAAGCTGAAGACAATGGATGGACGTAAAATAATATTCAAGCTAGTGAACAAATCCAAGTTACAATAATGTTTCAATTAATACTCTAGTATCATGCATTTAGTCTCCATTTATTATATTGGAGCTTTGACCTGTTCAAGTAAAAATCAGCAGCAATGTATCCCTTCCTGTGTTGTGTCCTTAGCGTTCTGATAAAACTGAATCTCAGTGAGCAAATTCAACCGGACCTCTCCATGATGTTTTAGTAATTGCGATCATTTGTGAGTTTGTTGTTTGTTTTTGTTGTCTTGACATTTAGGTAAATTGACCCTCAAGAGTAATCAGCCATAAACAGTTGGAGAAGTCATTTGAAATTTGATTGGTTTTTGCCTCCTTACAGGAAAGCAGGCTCAGTGTCACAGATGATACCCTCACACTTCAAGCAGAACATTTGGTGCTCTTTGAGGTTACCATAGCTACCCAACACAGTGAGACTGGATGTCCATGATGTTGATCAGCTCATAACTAGTGATGCATGCATGTATTCTGTGTCAAAGCAAACACCCCATAATAATCTACCGCATCATGTGTCGAAGTGAGCTAAGCGGGAAAAATATCAGGTCATGTAACATGCTCCTAAATTTTAGTAACTTTAGTTTGGTGCACTACATTGTTTGGCACTGTTCTTGGAACAAAGCAACAACAATGAACAAATTAGCGAATTTTAAAGGTTTCATATCCTAATAAGTACTGAAGTCTCTGTGCTCGTGTTGAAAGGCAATTTATCTCTGAGTTCTCTTGCGCTAATTCACAGTTTATGAGGCTTGCCTTTGGGTCTTCACCAGCAGTTAACCACTTTCATAAACAGTGGGACTCTTTCCTAATTGCTGCAGGCTATGGTGGATGCAGAAATATTACACTTGATACACTGTTATAGTTAAAAAAAAAAAAAAGGCGAGCAGATTTAGTCTACAAAAAAAAGATATTGGATGTGTCTTTTATGAAACTTCAGTGT